TTTGTCCTTGACTCTTATTGATTGATAGAGATTGTCCTTGCTTCTTAATAAAAAAAATACCATCTAAATATAAATGAGTAAATATAATATTAATTTTTTTTATAAACAAAAAATTTAAAGTAATTGATAATGAGTATAGAATTACCCTTGCGGATTCAAGTTATTTCAACGATGTTCTTTTTATATATCTAAGATTTAATTTTTTTTTTCTGATTTATATGAATATAAGTACATTTAACTAATTTTTATAAAATTTATTGAAAAAAGTTACTATTTTTTTGAAAAACTGATAAGATATTAAGATAATACTGTACTTAACATAAATGTGAGATTAATTAAAATAAATCTTTTTAATTTAGTCATTAACTAATTAAATTTAATTATAAGAAACCTTCTTAAATGTGAGATTAATGAGTAATTAATTTAAAAAATGTAACTCATTTTGGAGGGAAAGTGAAAATATTTTTATTAAATGTTTTATTAAATGAGATTAGCTAGCAATTATATATATATAGATTATTGGCAAAAAAAATATTCTTAATTATTGTGCAACTTCTCAAAACGACATTTTTTATGAATAGGAGGGAGTATGAATTATTTTTTTTTTACAATATGAACTTAATATCTTTTATGATTTGATAATATAAACAAATCTATACTTACCTTTGACTTTTCCAGCAAAGGTAAAAAAATCGGTTCTGATTTTTATCCCATAACAAATCTTTAATGTTAAGCCTATAAATACCAAAACAAATATGTAATTAATGTCATTCTATTTTCACCAAGTATTAATTATCTTTGACTTTTCTGCCTACTAGTAAATAGGATGGCTTTTTATATAAGTATAGATTATTTTGTGTGGAACTTTTTTATTTGACTTAAATGCTTGTTTATATTATATTTAAATATATATAACATCACCTTAATATCATTTTTACAAAATATTTGAAGATTGGTATTTGGTATATATAATAAAAGGGGTAATGCTACATTCAAGGAATGGTTCCTTCAATCATATAAAGCCACTAGATATTTTATTTTTTATTTTTGATATGAACTCTAGATTTAGTTAAACAAAGTGACGTGACAGTTTATTATGGGAGATTTATATGAGAGAACCATTCCCTTGGACTCTAGCATTTTCCCAAGTAACAGTGTGTTGAAACAGTATTGCTTGGTGGGCTTATAATCCATTTAAGGCCCAAATAAAATCACACAAATAGCAGGAGCGGCTTCCCGCATCAATTTTCCATTTCCATTTCCCTCCAACTTTACATGACACGACATCGTCGTCTTCTTCCACATGAATCGCACAGCACGAGCCGATGCAATTGTAAGCTAATCATGAGCGCTTTTACCTCAGCTATTAGTGTGGAATGTCGATGAGCAATGGATAGGTATTTGATATTATGGTTGCGTGCATTTATTGTTCTTCAATTCATTTCCGCAGAGCTTGTTCCCCGCAAGTGTCGCTTATTTCGAGCCCTATCCCTGAATTCTCCGGCAAGACCTGAAGAGGATTTTCATAATCCAAGGTACTGAGCATTCGAAGTTTCATGGTTGATTAACTTACCTTGATCTTCTGAAACCAACTAGAGCACACACTCGTCAGACGCACTCTCTTATTTACACCACTGGATCTCCGTGTATCTGCACCCAAGTTTGCACTGAGATCGAATCGTTTCTACTTATGTTAATTGTTTGCTGTATATTCACTTGATGGAGAATTTGTAGTCTTTCAAACTGTTAGAACCCTCACGAACTGATCCTGGTCAATTTTTTCCCTCAGAATCGGCAAATTCTTAGAAGATACAAGAATGGATGTTGATAGACAGACCGATCTTTTAGAGGTGAGGGTTATGTGCCAACTTTCAACTCCGCACACATTTTCTTTCATCCATTGTATATAGGCTATGCTTATTTTGATCATGAAGCTGGATACCTGATTGGATTTCTATAATTTACACGACAGGCTCGAATGCATGATAATTGGAGTTTTGGCAGCAATTACAATATCTGCAGCCAATCTAGAAAGATATCCATTGGAGTCCTGGTTGATTCCATATCCATGATGGAACCAAAAGATATCAAGGAAACAGTGATCCGTATTGCACAAAATGGATCTTCTAGCAAAGAGAATTGTTTCAAAGATGGCAAACAACATACCTCACCTGTGCAGAAACATTGGACAGCCGCACCAGACACCTCCCCTTGGGTTTCCACCAGATCGTGCAATCAGAAAATGTTTTCTGCAGCTGCAGTGCACGATGCCGAGCATACTCCAAGTTTCCTGGTCACTAGCAGATCACGTCCCAGGTCGAAGTTATTAGAGAAAGCGTCTGCTGCCCATTCTGTCAAATTTTTTGCTGGCCAGACTGGCTTGGAATCTGATCTATGCAGTGGAAAGAATCTTGGTGCCGAGATACATTCTGTTGAGATCGGCAATAGTAATGCAGAGCACCTGGGCAATACTGTTGACTCAATTGAACCAAAAGTTCTTCAGGAAGAAGTACCTGCAGAGGATAAAACTAGGAACACAGAAACTGCGGGCCGCGAAACATTGAGAATGAAGCTGTGGGAGGTCTTAGAAAATGTTTCTTCACCCAACAGGCATTGTTCTGACTCTCAGCCCATCAAGTTTCATCCAGATCAGAGGGATGGAAAGCAGAGTCATATTGAAAAGAAAAACCCAAATTCAGATACAATTGAAAGCGATTCTGACACTCATAATTTCCGGAGACCGGTTACTCGTTCATTGAATAGGATTAGAGCTTCCACTAAAAACCGGCCCTCCAAAGTTGTTGCTCCAAAATCTTCTAAACACAAGAAAGAACGTCCAGAGAAGAGAATTCTCCCGCAGAAAGAAGATCGTTCTGGAATATTTTCTGATAATTTCAATGATTGTTCATTGCCTTGCAAGAGGAAAAAAACTGGGAGACTAATTCGTGGAGGCGAGACACATCAGGTTCATAAGCATGGAAAAGTAGAGGAGAGACAGAAATCTCAAGATAAAAGTAGATCAGTACCAGCTGTAGAGAAATTAGCGGTGCATGAAGTTATCAGTGCTGACAGATCCGGTCACAGGATAAGTGATGTATTTGTTGAGCCAAAAAGCAGTATCAAGAAAAAAATATCTGAGCCTCCACTCAATATGATGAATGAGAAGCTCGAGGATGTTGAGCAGCCAATTGATGATGTTACAGTTTCAAAGTTGAAGGATCAACAGGGAGACAAGCATCACGTTTTCTTGGGGAGCAAGATGAATTCTGTACATAATCCTCTGACCTCTACATTTGAGATTAAGTCGCATGGCTGTTTACCAGAAAGAAATGCGGCAAAAATTCAGAAGTCTGATGAAAAAGTATTTAACATGAAAGGAGTCGGGAGTTTCAGAAGTCTAATGAGCTCAATACAAGCTGAACCAAATATGCAACTGAAATCATCTGTATCCTCAATATTTCAGACATTAAGTGGCAGTCGTCATTAAATTAGTTATGGCATGGTCATATACATTTTGGTCTTCCTTATAACATTTTAAGGATGAAGGATGCAAGTTAATGTATAGCGGCCTCATGAAACCAAGCTTTATCATCCAAGATGATGAAGACGGGAGATCCATATCATCTACTGAAGTAACTGATTCTGAGGGCTCTGTAAATGATTCACTCATGAAAGGTACACGTATTTGATGATTCACTCATATATGATATTTTTCATTCAAAATAAGATTTATGGTTTGTGCTTCAAATGAATGATCACGCTCTAACACCAACAACAACAACAACATAGCCTTTTAGTCCCAAGCAAGTTGGGGTAGGCTAGAGATGAAACCCAAGAGAACCAATGGTAATAGTATATATTTATCTTTATATGCTTATATTGCATACTGAATCAAGATGTTTGTATCATTGTGGTAAGTATGGTTGCCTGGAATTATATTCAGATGTTGGTGAATTCCGCAATATTTCCCAGCATCCTTTACATGTTCTACTGAATCTAAACTCATACAATTCAGGAATTTTTTTGGTGATGCTCTTGAGTTTGACTCCTGTTTTGCATATTCACACTGTATTTTTGTTTGCTTTCTTCATTTAATTGCTATTCATAGTATAGAGAAATCATAATAGCACTTTCTACAGTCACAATTTATCATTGACATAGTTTGTGTATTCATTTTTTTTTAATCTAAAGCAGAACATGTTTCATCACTTAACAAACTTTCTGGTATACACAATATTTGAAAGCTTGTCTGTCAAAAAGAGCTGATGCTCTCTTGCTGATTATGCAAGACGTATTAGATTAGATTATTCACCGGTAAGGTGCAATATCAAGATACCGTTGAGCGGGGCTAGCTTCTCAGTTTGTAACATGAATATAAGTTCTATTCATATGCAGGTTGTCAGGAGTCAAAACAATTATCTCTTGAAATTTATATTCATGACGACTTTCAACATGGTTCTGATAAATGTGCAGGGCACAAAAAAGATGTTGAGGGGACTGATTGTACCCCCGTGGCAGAGTCTTTAAAAGGTTATCATTTCTTTTGGGGAAACCCTTTACTCTTTCCTGCAGCATTCTTCCTTTTATTGGATTTATCTCTCTTTCATATGTATATAATATTTCCTTTTGGCTCGACACAAATTAACAGGGATTCAAGACACTAGCAAGCTTCAAATGAATGTGAAACAGAATCATGAGGATGGCCTCGGCAGGTAGTCTTATTTCCTATGAGCAGAGAAAATAATCAAGGAAATGGAACTGTAGCTGAACCACCATCCATTTGTTTCTGATGATTTCTTTCTCAAATCTCAGAGCTGTAGAGTTATTTACTGTGGCGTTAGCTCGTGTTAAAACTAAGATAAAGTCAGTGAGTAACAAAAGGTCGTCTGAAATTCTGGGAGCTGCGGCTGAGAATATATTAGTGCTGTTGCAGGATGCTGAATCTCATATCAAAACAGACATGTAAGCATTTCTCAAGGTTTTTTTGTGTGTGTGTGTGTGTGTGTGTGTGTGTGTGTGTGTCTTCCTCTTTAGCATGATGGTTGTCTATTTCAGGGGAAAGGTGAACAATCTTACTGAACAAAAAAGGAAAAGGCTGGAAACTAGATTTCAAGGTGCATTTCTAGGAACTTAACATGGTTGCTTTATGGAATTCTCTACTGTTGGGCTAGAATGTCCATGCTATTTTTCACGTATCTTCATGTATTCTTAAAATATATAGCACTTGCTCTAAACGTGAGTTTGGCCAAACTTTGGTATCTCGATCATGTTATTGTTTTCCGGAACATATTAATGCTATTTTAACTTTTAAGCATGTCCAACTGTTACAAGCTTAAAAAGCTTTTCAAAAGTCATGGAGCTTCACGCCTGCATCATGAAGCTATTCTTTTTGCTGCCGGACTGTGTCTTGGCTTTATGTGTTTGCTGAAAAAAGAGTGTCAGCCCAGAGAGTGCAACAGAGAGCTTTTAATGGAAGTTCTCTAAAATCTAAGGTGATATTCAAGGAAGAACTGCGATAGGAGATACAGCTCCAACCATGACTTGGGCCTTACCAGAATTTATCAAGGCTGCTTGGATAATCCTTTTATTTCTCTCAACTAGCACTAATAGAGTTGAAGGTTATTCAGTGACTCCATTTGGTTATAATTGTCTTAATGACCTTGCATAAGTCAACATCAGCAAGCTGGTATTAGTTAGGCAGCCCATGGAGAGTGCTAATGAGCAGTGACATTTTACATGCAAATGCATTGCCCACGTTTTTCGTTTATGCTTCATTCCTGATGGTCTGGCACATTAAACAAGAACAAAACTTAAAATTCTGGAGATGCCCGTATTCAGCGTTCGGGTTATTTAGAATGGACGTGATCTAGCTTTTACGGTTTTATCTTCTTTTTTCACATTTACAGTCCACGCAGTTCTATCCCATATGACCGCAGGTCACAGTGTGATCCATTACTGCATCCTTAGGAAAGAACTGAAAATCCATGTAGAAAATAAAAATAGGGGCAGTTGGTTCATTTCACTGTCAGAAGAGTTTCTGGAGATAATTTTGTTCTACCACAGCCTATGACACGCTGCCAATCAATTGTTAACCATTCGTACTCCATCCTAGAAGTTCTGTTTTTTTTTTTTTTTTTCCTGATTATTCGTTTAAATGAATTAGGAGGCCACTTGGGATTGTTACCAGCCCTTTGTTGATGCATTAATAATTGTCTATCTTCACAGAGCAACAGGATCAGTTACTCGGAATATATAAAAAATTTGCAGAAGAGGTTGACCGGCACCTCCAGGATTATGGTGGCATGATTGAAGATCTAGAAGAGCATGAGATCGAGCTCAAAAGATATGTGGAAAGACAAAGTATGATTCTAATCCGAATATAACCTCTAATGTTAATGATATATTAATATTCCTGACTGGTTTCTCATGTCTTTCTATTGATAATGTACACAAGTTTATATAATCCGTTTTGGGTAAGTAAGAGAGCAAGGAGAAATGGTCACTACGTTTGTTAAATGTACTTAATTTGGTATACTACAGTCATATACCACTTGTTTTGCTGAATTCGATAATTCTGACAATTGCTAATTGGTACTCTTAGGAGCAGCCCACCGCAAAGCTCTCCTGCAAGTGGAGCAAGGAATTAAGATTCAACTTGATGATGCAGAAAGCAGGATCATGGATGTACAAGAAGTGAGTTTGTTTCATTTAAATTTTGCAACATCATGTGATTTTTAGAATTTTCAGTGAAATAATCGGTTCATCTGAAATGATATGTTAAACATATCCGTTAAGACACCATGTCTTATATATTGAAGAAACATAGTGTAACCTATTACTTGTGATGGATTTGATTTTGCAGTTGGCTAAGGAGAGGATGCTTCAATTGAAACTTGTGGTAAACGAGTTTACTTTCTGCTGACATTATTTTCGTTGATGTTGCCAAGCAGATGTTACTATGGTCTAGGAACTTCCCACTTATGTCGAGAATTAATTATACTATCAATCCTTATATCCATTTTCTCGGATCAAATTTGTCTGTGTAGGCGCCTCGCACTTCTTAGCGAGCAATTTACATTTTGTAGTGTTCATATCTTCTATCTCCAAATGTTGTTGCTGAAGTTTCAACAAGTTTTTCTTGTTATTTTGTTTCCCAAAATAGACTTTGCACTGTTTTACTTCCAAAACCTATTTACTAAACAATGTAGAGTATCTAATGGACTACCCAAAACTGTGTTGGCAATAATCTCAAGTCCTGCTGAGGAAACATAGTTATCTTGAGAAGTAGTCAATAGAAGGAATAGAAAAGGATGGATCCACCCCACAACACCATTCTTCCTTCATCTCTGAGGACAATATTTCAAGGACTTGTTGTATCTTGCTCAACTCTGCATGTGCTGTATCCCTAGCATCAAATATATGAGTGTAGCAACCCATCTGTATCAAACTACTCCCGGGTTTTTTCCTCAACCCCTTCTCTTTTATAAGAGCTCTGACCCTCGATGCATCTTTCCATTTCTTGGTTGATGCATACATATTGGAAAGTAGGATGTGATAGCCAGAATCTTGCACATTGTCCTGGAGAATCTCTTCAAGAAGATCAACAGGCTCGGTTATTCCGTGGAATTGACATGCTGCAACCAGACACCCGAGAACACTGCCCTCTGGCTTCTCGGGCATTCTTCTGATGAAGTTGCACGCATCACGAATTCGGCCTGCTCTACCGAACAAGTCCACCATGCACGAGTAATGTTCCATGTTAGGGCATATCCCATAACTGTCGATCATTGATCTGTACACAGACCAACCCTCGTCCACTAGGCCCGAATGACTGCATGCGGACAGGAGCCCGACGAAAGTAGCTTTCGTTGGCTTAATACCTAAACATATCATCTCATCAAACAGGATCAACGCTTGCTTCCCGTATCCGCAGAACCCATAGGCCGAAATGAGTGTGTTATAAGAAACAATATCCTTTTCCGACATGTGGTCAAAGACCCTACGCCCGAGCCCTAGGTATCCGCATTTACAATACATATCAATAAGCGAGTTGCTTACCGAAACAGCCATTATTACAGTATTTTTTACTGCATAGCAGTGAAGTTCCATGCCCTGTTTGAGCACTCCCATTTTGGTGCAAATCGGAAGGATACTCACCAAGGTCACGGAATTAGGTCTGATGAGTAGTTGAGACGAGGTAGTCCACATCCTCCGGAAGACAATTAGTGCCAAATCGAATTTTTCACCAGCAGCATGTCCAGCAATGGCCGAGTTCCAAACCATTATATCCGGCCAGACGCTTAAGAGAGTATCCATTTCTCGAGTCAACCCACAACTCGAGTACATGTCCATTAGCGCAATCCGGAGCACAACATCATCGTCAAACCCATGCTTGATGATGAAACCGTGCATCGCTTTCCCTTGTTCTGATAAGTTGAGTTTGCCGATTGCGGGAAAAACACTCGCCACAACATGAACATCATCAGGTGTCAGTTTTGATTTTTTCGTCCTCTCTAGATACAAGTCGAGGCTCCGCTCGTATAGACAGTTGTGTGAATAACCGGCTATAAGGGTCCTCCAAGACACGTGATCTTTACAAGGCATTCCGCGGAATATGACGTACGCCCGATGAGGATCTCCGAATTTACAGTACATATCCATGGCCGCATTGGAAACAAACAAATCGTCATGTACGCCAGTCTTCAAAGCGCAGCCTTGCAGGGCCATTCCATTTCCGGCCTGCCTCGATTCCAGTCGGCCACAGGCAGGGAGCATGGCGGCCACAAGTGCTGAATCGGGTCGGGTTCCTGTCTGCCTCATCTCTTCAAACAAACACAGAGCCTTGAGCTCCTGCCCGGCCTGTATCCATCCACAAATGATGGATGTCCAAGAAGCCAGGTCGCGCTCTTTCAGAGGCATTTCGTCGAACACCTTGTGGGCTTCATCCAAGCTTCCACATTTGGCAAACATGTCGATCAGGGCGCATTTGGTGTAGACGTTGGGCTTCAAATGTGGGTGGCGGGTGATGAAACCGGCCACATTTCTACCGTGTTCGAGGGAGGATAGGCCGGAACAAGCCTTTAAGACAAGGGGGAACGTGTAGTTGTCGGGTATAAACCGGAGGTTGAAGACCAGGTGGTTGAACAAGTGAATAGCTTGAGAGAAGTCGGCCGAGTGGACGTAGGCTCGCAGAACGGCGTTGCAGTGGAGTCTAGTGGAGAATGGTGCGTTGAGAAAGCCGGCGGCCACCATCAGACCATGGAATGCTCTGGCTTCGTGGAGAGAGGACACATTTTTGTTATTAGCTATCATCATCATCAACAATTTGGGAAGCATACTATCAATGGCTCTGCTGTGTGTGTGGAAGTTGCCAATTTTCAGCAATCACCATGTCCTTTTAACTTTTTACCAGCAATCAAGAAAGAATTCTTTTCCCGACCGACAA